AAGGCTTTTGAACTGTTGTGCTGGAGGAAAATTCTGAGAGTGCTTTGGACCGCAAGAAGATCCAACCAGTCCATACTTCAGGAAATAAAGCCTGACTGCTCATTGGAGGGAAGGGTATTAGAGGCAAAGATGAAGTACTTTGGCCACATCATGAGGAGACAGGAAAGCTTAGAGAAGACAATGATGCTGGGGAAAATGGAAGGAAAAATGAAGAAGGGCCAACCAAAGGCAAGATGGATGGATGGTATCCTTGAAGTGACTGACTTGACTCTGAAGGAGCTGGGGGTGGCCACAGCTGACAGGGAGCTCTGGCGTGGGTTGGTCCATGAGGTCACGAAGAGTCGGAAGCGACTGAATGAATAAACAACAACAAAAAAGGAGCGGATGGTACTTCAATGACTGAGATTTCTTCAGCCTCTGCTAGATAATACAAACCATTCAAGGAGGTTGTCTGATTGTTCTGACCCTGAGAATACTATTGAAGAATATTATGTTTTCCAAATGATAATGAAGCTCTGCCCCAGCATGAGCACTACATTTTCCTCTTGGGCATTTCGAGTAGGACAGTATCTCTCCCCCTACCCGCCACCCATTATCTAGCAGAGACCTAATTAACCTCAACATTAAACCAGAAGTCGGTGAGCCAATAAAGGGGCCAGGCATTGATCAAAAGGCATTTCAGAAAGAGAGGTGAGCGCTGACAGTAGGATGCCACCTTGACAAAGACAAATGAGAGGTTCCCAACAGACAGATTGCCCTTTGCTCCTAGAAAGCACACTGGGAAATACCACGTGTCAGCATTTAACAAATTAAGCCCATAACGTGGTGCAGCACCAGGTTGCAAAGAGGCGGTGGAAGGGGGCTCTCTGTTGAGAGGATAAATTCATCGAGTCACTTCGTTTCAAGTGGGTGGCTCCTTCCAAAATGGCAAATCAAAAAAGATCTCATTTAGCCAGACAGAGAATAACAGGCAGTAATCCATCATGGAAAAGGGATTCTATCCAACTCCTCTCACACATACACTCTCGCTCTCACTACATATACAAACACAGTCACTTGATTTCTTTTCCCAGCTTTGGTAAATGTGAAATCTTGGCTTTTTCTAGTAACTCATCGGAAGTTCCCCTAAGGCAAAGAGAACTAACAGAGAATGAGCACCACCCAAAGGCAGTTTACTTAGCCATTCTATTATTCATGTATTTGATAAAGCCTTAAGTCTACTTCCTTGGGTGCAACCAGTGTTGTGCCACCTTTGGACCACTAGATGGCAAGCAAGCACAAGCTCTTTGGGACTGGCATCTGCAGACTTCCATATGAGTTCTAGTTCAACTTGCTGTTTTGTAAGCGGATTGATTTCCCAGCTCAACATGAACAAACCATTTTTAGAAATCTATATTTCTGTAGCCATTAAAACTCTTTTCAAAAGCTATTCATCCTTTTTTTTTGCCACTGTACACTGAATGTTTCTCTAAATGACTTGGCTTTTGCCTAGGGGAAAATGTACCTCTGGGCATTCAACAGGATTTTTCAATATCCAACACTGTGCAAAAGAGTAAGGAACCCACATAAAAGAAAAATTAAGAGAGGATCGGATATGCTCCTCAATGAAGTTGGTGACTCCACATTAGTCTAGAACCCAACCTTGATCTCTGGTGAGTCCAAATGTCTTGTGAGGCATTATGTATTCCCCCCGCTTCCAATTTGGTGCCACCTGTAAATCTGATGGTCATCCTTCTCTGTTCCTTTATCCAAGTCATTTATAAAGGCCTCAATACCATGTAGCCTGGAGAAAACCCTGCAGCACCCCGCTTATCCCTTCTTTCCAAGATGTCAAGGAACCAGCCATTGGCAAGCACTCTTTGAGCATGATCTATTGGCCAGTGGCAAATCCACTGAACTGTCCCATCATTTAGCCCACGTTTTATTTTATTTTTAGTCGGATTAGATAGGTAAAGATTTTCCCAACATTAAATCCAGTCGTGTCCAACTCTGGGGGTTGGTGCCCATCTCCATTTATAAGCCAAAGAGCCGGCATTGTCTGTAGACACCTTCAAGGTCATGTGGCTGTCATGACTGCATGGAGCACCATTACCTTCCCACAGAAGCAGTGCCTATTGATCTACTCACATTTGCATGTTTTCGAACTGCTAGGTTGGCAGAAGCTGGGGCTAACAGCAGGAACTCACCCCACTCCCCTGATTTGAACCTGCGACCTTTCATTAGCAAGTTCAGCAGCTCAGCAGTTTAACCCACTGTGTCACAGTCAGACTAGCATATGGAAAATTAGATGAGGTTTAAAAATATTTGGGAAATTTAGCAACAGGGGGAAAACATTCTTTGGAATTTGCGGAGAAATTTCTCCCCAATTGTATGAAGTTATAAAGAACCTGATAACCCAAATGTACCAATGGATGTGTTAGGATATTGGAACAAGCAAATTAGGAAGAAAATACAGTAAACTAATTTAGGAGGTTTGCAGAGTTAGAAATAGTCATTTTAGGGGTGACAAATTCCAGAATTCATAAACCAGCCTCAAACTGTGGGAGATTTGGAAAACTGTTGAAATTAGTAATGTTTCCATGCTTTATAGTATCACTGGGTACTCGTGTCGACAGGTAGAGAACTTTGTGTATTTATGAATCTGCTCATCCCAAAGATTTACCATATATTCTAGCCATCCCTGCCATTAAGACCCAAATGTTCCCTTCCAAAACTTGCCTTTTTCCAGAGATGTTACAAAGTGTGAATAATCAGGCATTAAAATGTTATTTTAGCTTATCCATAGAAATGCAGGGCATCCTTCACTGGAGGAGTCTGTCATTGCCCATACCAGCAAGCAACCCTGAAGCAGGATCTTTTATAGGGACCAGGGAGTATCATAGCAGTGCAAAGCAAGTTTTTTTTTTAAATTATCTCCATGCAATGCTTTCTCTTTTGACCAAAAATGGGGAGGAAGGAAAATACTACGGCTGATCTCTATGGTGCCGTCTTTCAAGTCACCTCTCCTTTAAGGTCCATGGAGGAGGTTTGCATCACGATCCCTCATACACTGTGCCATGTGCCAGGTCAAGAGCAGGATAGGGATACCATCACTCAGCAGCAACACCCATCACCCCCTCTGCTCAAAACAACACTGTTGGTAAACCGATCAACCAGGCAGGTGAGGAGAGATCCAATGGTGAAGCTGCAAACAGGGAACTAAAAGACCTCTTCCTGGGGGAAGCCAATACCTGCCTTGATTGCCTCATTGATGTCACCTTGACATTTGGATAGCAGCAGGAGGCCATAATCCCAGGACACCATTTTATACCATTTACGTTATCTCTAAATCATAATGCTAGTAATGTAGCAGGGAAGGAAGGAAGAGGAGAAGGGGAAAGCAGAGATCTCTCTTCACTGGGGTTGGAGAGACCTGCTTTTTCTACACCAGGCAGAATCCTGTTTTTCTAGAAGGTTGAGAGGAGAAATAAACTGTGAAATTTTAAAAGCAGCTATAAAAGTGTGACAACAGAGAATAGATACCATCTCTGACAAAATGCAACAGTTGGGAGGGTATACCATGCTCAATAGTTTACAAAAGAACATCACGCTTCAGCAAATGGTTTGTCACAATGGGTTAAATCCAGTGCTAGAATGAGGTTTATTAATTTCGCTGTGATTACATCCCATTGATTTCCGGAAAGAACAGATCCTTGGATGAAGCCCAAATACCTTCTCATCCAAGGAGAAGTGAAGCCTTCCCTGACCTGGCAATCCGCTGCCTAATTAATCCATTCTTTCTGCTTCCTGTCTGAGCAGTAATCTACAAACAAGTTTATCAACAGAAAAAGGGGAACAATGGATCAGGCCCTGTTGAGCTCAAAGACAACATTTTATTTTGGTCTGTCAAGTGAAAAGGCCAAGTTACTATGTTGTAACATCTCCACCAAGTGGTAAACCCCTTGTATTGCTACTCCAATGTTCTCTCCTTTAAACTTTTCAGTGTTGCTCATGCACTCTACTCTAGACCGAGTCCAAGGGTGCACCCACACCACAGAATTAATGCAGCTTGACACCGCTTTAGCTGCCATGCTCAATGCTATTAATTCTATAATGTAGATGCACCTCCTAATCTACATTAGTGTTCATATCCAGTCTGAAGCTAGAACACGTGCAAAGAAAATTAAAACAGCAAGACAGCAGTTATCACTGAGGTGATAGCCGTCTATTGAGTGCTCTGGCCAAAGTAGTGAATGACAAACCCATTCTGCTGAGGGCCCATCTTTTGCCAGCTGCTTAATGACACAGAACACCACCTTTGCTGTTCTAATTAGTCCTGCTGTTAGCGTCAAGCTGATCCCATATCCTACTGCTTGGATCAATAGGATTAGGATTGGAAAGACACAGAATTGATCCTCCACTCAGCCATAATGCTCACATTATGTGCCATTACTATTACTTACCTTATGTACCTTATAGAAGAGCTTTCCCAACATTTCATGTTGGTGAAACACTTCCCAGTCATCATTTTGCAACACAGTAATTTAGTTTTACTGGCACACCGGAGGTTAAACCAACCCCCTTGTAAGAGATACCAACACAGACATAAATTATAATAAGGAAATGTATGGGGACACAACATACCTAATGGGAACCTTTCATTTCTATTTTAAAGATATACGATTTGTAAGATAATAACATATTTCCAAGATTTTTGTCATTTATGTTCATGCAACACACCTACACACTTTAGCTGGCACATTAATGTGTTGTGACATACAGTTTGGAAAGCTCTGCCTTACAGGAATTGCTTTGAGGATATGGAATTGGGAGATGAAACAAAGAAGGAGGACCAAATGGACCACAGTTCTGCATCACCTTGGATTCCCAGCTTAATGTGACATCAAATGGAACCAGGTTTGGTTGGTATCATAACATCTTACCATAGATTTCTCACTCATTTTAACAGCCCAGCACCAAAACGCTGCCCCATGTCCTTTGCAATGACACACTAAGGAGCCTTCTTCAAAAGATTTCAAATATTTTAATTATGGGTGTTGTTTTTTGTGCAAAACACGATTAGAACTTTCATCAGACAATTCAGAGTAGAAGAAGGAATGGTGTGGAATTCTGACAGCCAGTTCAAACGATGGCCCCTTTCTGGTACCAGCACTGTTATCAAGTGGAAAGTGGAGACACCAGAGAGAACTAGGAACAGAAGGTTTCTTACAAGTTTGAAGGAGGTGCCTTCAGCTAAACAAGAAAAACACAGCCAAGCATATTGTGCCCCTCCCCCCCCCCAGCAAGGTGGGATTTTCCTTCTACCTGTTTTGTCTACCTCATCATCCAAATTGTAGCACCAAGTACCAAAAGAATCTTCCGATTTGGAGAAGCACCAAGTACCTCGTCTCTTCCAGGTAACCCTACAAAAAAGTGTGCATGCACATAAGCACCACGGTTCCAGTCTGGTTTTTAAAAACACGCCAAATGGCAGTACTTCACTGGCACGTAGAAATAAAAAGAACAATGGCTTTTGGAGTGGAATGCATGATCAAAGGGTAATGCCAGGGACCAGATCAAAAATTCTAGGATTCTTGCAGCTACCAAAATAAGTTTGATGGATGCCGTTTTATTTCTCACTTCGTCCACATCAGTTTAATTTCCCCAGGAGTGTTTCCAATGATGTTGGGATAGGGAAAGGCAATAGAGGTCTAGCACATATAGGAAAACATTTCTGGGGGAAAAAGCATTGGGGGGGGGGGGGGAGAAGGAGGAGAATAATTTGCAGGGGGCACAAATGTCAAGCACTTTGGCCACTTTAGATCTAACACACTTTTGTAACCTACTAATTAGGCCAGTTAGGCCAATGCCAACAGTTAGCACCTCATAAACTGCATTGGGGATCCAGGTTATATCAATATGGGTCATTAAAATGATCAGCTTTCAAGGCAGATAAGAAAACCATTGCAAATATAAGAAAGGAATAATGTTCAACAATTGCTCCCCTCTACAGGTAGAATTGCAGCAGTGGAGACATCCTGCCCTCCATGTACTCCTTCCATTTATTCATTAACAGAGATCGTGGAAGTGAACCTCATCCTCCTGTTTGCACAGGTAGATATCCTGTAGTTCACCTCTGAATTCGGTTTCTTAGAAGAGGATCCACTTCAGTGCAACCACTGCAGCATTCAGGTGCTTGGGTGTATTCTCTTCCACCCACCCTGTGGCATATACATGGGTTTAAACTCTCTGTGATCTCCTGCGAAGAGGAAGAAAGGCTGCTCAGGTGGCAGAAAGGGCAGCGTGGTGTATCGTGCTAGAGGTCTCTTGCAGAAGAGGGGCTGTGTCTGAAGGCTGAAATGGGTCATTCCATGAGTTTGGCATTTGAGGAGTCGTCTTTTGAGCATCTCTCTGGAGAAAAGAAAGCCAAAAAGGTATAGTTAGAACTGGGACTATTGAAGGAGAGTCGTTGTGAGCTCAAGTGTTCCTGATAGCAAATTCTGGTATGATGAAGCTCCTCAATTCAGGAGTAAGCAAACTCTCCCTGGACTGCCCAATAGTAAGGAATATTGGAATCCAGATATACATTAAATTATGTACTATGACCATTTTTGCATGGCAAGCATTTAATCTGAATGCACATCATGGCATCTAGTCTAATTTGAGCATAATACAGTTATAGCTCAGCATTATGTGCATGAGCCTCCTATTCACTACTCCTTGTGGTTGAATCAAAATATGTTAACTTCACAAGCCACAATCAGACTGTTGCTCGTTTTGGAAAAGAGGGGTGGGCAAAGTGAAGCCCACTAGGAAAAGTTGAAATGTAACTCCCAATACACTTTGCCATTGGATGTGCTGGATAGGACTGATGAAAGGGCTGGTGATGAAATAATATCTGGAATAGAGTATTTTGCCCACACCTGGAGCAAACCACGGTTAAAATTAACCATTGTTTCCCAAGATTCAAACAGAATATTGAACTGGAATTAATTTGACATGAAGTTGAAAATGTCTGGTCTCTTTTTCACTGGAAGAGGAGAAACCAAGGACAGTTGGTCACACTATACTTTAGAAATACGTTTGAACTCAGCACTAGCATCAAGGATGGGAAAAGTGTAGCCCCCAAAGTGCTGACTTGTACTCCAAAGTCTTCTGATCTCAGATTAGCCAAACAGTGAAAAAGAGCAACAATTCTGTCACAAAAAAATCGGGCAGTCGGCCCTCAACCCCAATGGTTGTTTCCGTTGCATTCTGAAACGGGAAGTGATGCAATATTACTTCCAATCATGCCATTGTAGCCCATGCCCTGCTTCTCCACAGTTGTCCATGTCTGATTTAAATTTTACGACACAGATTAAGATGGCTTAACTTCACTTTGGTATGGTAAATACCAACTCCTGCCACAGAAGGTCACACTTTAGAACAAGAAACTGACTAGGCCAAAAGAAGAAGATAGTTCTCTTAGTGAGTCCGGTTCTTAACTATGTAAAAATATTCAAGCTACATGGATATCTATCTAAAGCTATCATAGAAATACATTTTAATGTGTGTATTTGTGGTATTTTTAAAATTTATTTATTTATTTATTTATTTACTACATTTATATACCGCCCCTCTCAGCCCACAGGCGACTCAGAGCTGTTTACAGTCAATATCAAAGACATAAAATACAATTTAAAAACTATCAGTTTAAATATAAAACCAAGTAAAACAATCAATATCAATAAAAACATATATAAATTTGAGTCTCCTAGTTAAAAGCTTTATCCAATAACATTGTCGAGTCGTTCCGTTTTTCTCCATGTCTGTTATATTGTGTCTGATAACGCTTGCTCAAAGAGACACATCTTGACCTGCTTTCGAAATGTTAAAAGGGAAGGGGCTGATCTAATATCCCTGGGGCCACCACTAATAGCCGAGGAGAAGGCCCTGTCTCTCATCCCCGCCAACTGTACTTGTGATGAAGACGGGATCAAGAGCAGGGCCTCTCCAGACGATCTTAAAGTCCTGGAGGATTCTTAAGGGGAGATGCGTTCAGACAGGTAAGTTGGGCCAGAACCATTTAGGGCTTTATAGGCTAAAGCCAGCACTTTGAATTGTGCCCAGTAGCAGACTGGCAGCCAGTGGAGCTGGCGCAACAGAGGAGTTGTATGCTCCCTGTGTGCCTCTCCTGTTAGCAACATGGCTGCCGCTCGCTGGACCATCTGGAGCTTCCGGACAGTCTTCAAAGGCAACCCCACGTAGAGAGCGTTGCAGTAGTCTATAAGGGATGTAACCAGAGCATGGACTATCGTGGCCAAGTCAGACTTCCCAAGGCACGGACACAGCTGTCGCACAAGTTTTAATTGTGCAAATGCTCTCCCGGTCACCGCTGAAATCTGGGGTTCCAGGCTCAGCGATGAATCCAGGATCACACCCAAGCTGCGAACCTGTGACTTCAGGGGGAATGTGACCCCATCTAGCACAGGCTGTAACCCTATACCCTGTTCGGCCTTGCGACTGACCAGGAGTACCTCTGTCTTGTCTGGATTCAATTTCAATTTGTTAGCCCTCATCCAGACCGTGACAGCAGCCAAGCACCAGTTCAGGACCTTAACAGCCTCCTTAGTAGCAGGTGTAATATTTATATGTTTTAATTATTCTGTAACCCGTTACGAGGGGAACTGGATTAGAAATAAAATCATCATCATCATCACCCTGGTGGTGAAGGGTTAAACTCTTGTGCCGGCAGGACTGAAAACCGACAGGTCGGGGGTTCGAATCCAGGGAGAGCATGGATGAGCTCTTTCTGTCAGCTCCAGCTCCCCATGTGGGGACATAAGAGAAGCCTCCCACAAGGATGATAAAACATTAAAACATCTGGGCGTCCCCTGGGCAACATCCTTGCAGACGGCCAATTCTCTCACACCAGAAGCGACTTGCAGTTTCTCAAGTCGCTGCTGACATGACAATATCATCATCATCGTCGTCGTCGTCATCATATTTCCTTACTGTTTGGCATAAAACAATGTGTTCATTTTGTTATCTTATTTTTCCTTAATAACAATGAATTACCCAGTGAAGCCAACTGGCAATAGATCCAAAACAGAAAACAGCAGATACTTCTTTGCAGAAGACATACGTTTACTTAGCAATTCACTGTCACAAGATACGGAACATTAAAAGTGGGGAATTTGCAAAATGCCTGTACATTCCAGATTATGGAGACATACAATTATTGTGAAAGCCTTCTTCAACCCATTTCCCAGCTGCCTGTTGAAACAATGCTGGACTGCACAGGAATTCTGTATGAGACAGAAAATAAACCCTCTGTGCGTGGCTTCTACCAAAAGAAACAGGATCCCAAATTCAGGACAAATTTAGAACATCTTTGGATGTTATTGCTGCTTTAAGAGAAAGGCGGAGCAACAGCATATTAAGCAGTGTAGCAGAAAAGTTCTCAAGTTGGGGAGAAGGAAGCCAGGGATGCATTGTCGGTTGCTGGGTAGGATCCAAGACAGCTGCCAGCCTGCTCATCAAAATTAAGCACCAAGCCATTCAAGCAACTATTTAAAATCTATGAAGTTTAAAACAGATTCAAGCTAATTTGGGGTTGTTGTTTTTAATGATAGTTGACATTACCTTTCATTTTCCAGGCATCCACCTAGAATCTGTCTTCCTTCCACGCGGAGCCGTTTTTCTCTTTGGAGGCCTGGGTGGCCCCTTTAGATTCTGAACCCTTATTACTACTCCAAAATAAAAAGCACTTTCCCTAGAAAATAATCAATCTGGTTTAAACAGTTGATGCTATACGTCTAGGAGAGTTTTTTTGTTTATTGAAAGGTAAATAGAGGGTGCATTATTTGCACATTTAATTTGTGTTAAGAAGGGATCAGGGAATCACGGGAGCTAATTTACATAACCTACTTTATTAAAGGGTTGGTTTTCTAGAAATAAGATCATTTACATCCTAATTCTATTAGATTTTTAAAAAAAAAATCAGAAGGATGCAAAAGATTGGTTGTCAAGCCACATTTGAAATGGTTTGTTCACATTTGTGCTTGCTTTGTTTTTTAAAAGCAATGCTTAAACATTTTTTTCCTTTTCTTCTGTCTTTGGGAATAAATAGGAGCCAAAATAAACAGGAGTCTTCTGTGACCCGTGCTATATATGGATAAATATATATGTTTGTTTGTAACTCACAAATTGCTTTATAGTCTGTTTACTCTCACAATAAACATGTGAAGTTGGTTAATTTATAGACCCCAAGCCCAAGAAGAAAAGATTAAGATTGAGGGAGTGAAGGGGACGGGGGACAAGAGGGAAGGAAGAAAGGAAGGAAGGAAGGAAGGAAGGAAGGAAGGAAGGAAGGAAGGAAGGAAGGAAGGAAGGAAGGAAGGAAGGAAGGAAGGAAGGAAGGCAGACAAGACAGAAAGAGAGATGTTTGCACGGACATTTGCCGGTCTTGGGGTCCAGGCAAAGAGGTCAGTGCTCCAACTTTTAAACTTTGCATGGTGTGCCCAAGGAGGCAAGAAGCAGTGAGAGAACTCAGTTCTCCATTTGCATGCCCGGCTTCTTCCAGGTTAAGGCGACCCATTTAGGGGTCTCTTACCTGTGGGCCCTGATAACTGTAGCCAGTGCGGGATCCAGGTTTATAAAACTTTGGGGCAGACAGGGTCCCAATCACAATGGACCCCTCCTTCTGCCGTAAAACAGTCATGGTCTGTTGAGAAAATGAAGGTTTCATGCGAACACCATTCAAAACTGGCTTGAGGAAGATTAGCGGTTCATTGTATGTAGGTTTTTAAAGATATATTCTATATCCATACATTGTCATTTTGATGATCTATACATTGTCATTTTGATTATCTATATATTGTCATTTTGATAATCTATATACTGTGATTTGATAATCCAGGGTAAGAGTTATGGATAACTGTCCATTCAACTGCAAGGATTTTTTTACACAATAGGTTTTAGAAATAACGATGAATTTCATTATTATTACTATTTTTATTACTGTACTTCTAAGAAACACCCATCCCCCCTAGATAAACATCTCTAAAGATGGGGTGCACCTTAGCATCACAGATGTATCTTATGTATTTTTGGTGGTGGTGGTGGTACTGAAATTAGTGTGCATCTTATAATCAATGGCATCTCACAATCGAAGAAGTACGGTATTTATCCACTTTAGAAGAAGTCAAGAGAAGGTGCTACATTTGGATATAAGTGCTGCCCAACCACTTTTCATTTTTAAAAAATGACTTTTGCTAGACATCAAATGGAGAATCTGGTTTGCAAGTTCAGCCTTCTTAAATGGAGTAAAATGAGATAAAACTCTCACAAGTAGCTGGTATATGACTTTTCAAAACTGCAAGGAGCCACTGATGGAATGTGTATCCTTCCATCATGGAGATGTTGTTTTTAATCCTTTGTCCCCATTATTGTCCTAATCCAGACCAGTCTCTAGTAACTTGCGGTTCACTAAAGGGGAGGTATGGAATTCATGCAAGGACTAATTCCATAAATAAAGTTGTATACTTTGGCTCACATTTAGATATCTGCCTTTTAGTCAACTACAACTTTGTGGATGGACATGTGCATGGAGCAGTGTATTCCAAACATCCAAGAGAAAGGGAAGCACACACTGGAGACACCTCTTACAGTCAGAGAGGAAAGTGACAACCAGTGAGAACAGATATAAAAGACACTTTAAGGAAGGTCTGAGGAATACATTCCACGGAATTTGAAATGTGACGTTTCCACAAATACAAGTAAAAAGAGGTTGGTGAAAATATCAGTATTATGTACCCATAAGCATAAACGTCCATGGTCCATGAGGTCACGAAGAGTCGGAGACGACTGAACGAATGAACAACAAAGCATAAACGTGTGTAATACTGTTAACCGTGCTGGTGCCATACACAAGACGTCTACATTGTGCTTGAGCTGTGGCACTGTAAAATATAAAAACTGGGCTCTTCCTCACTAATTATGGGTACAGGGGATAGAGAGGAACAGCATGGTTCCTTTGACCATCTGTCACTTGGTTCCTTTCCTCCCTGAACATTCTCCATTCTTTAGAATTACCATTATTTTAAGAGTTATAGAAGATTATTTATCTGGAACATTTATATCCTGTCCTCCAGCCAAAAAAATGTTCCCAGCTAAATTATACCCGAGTTCGTCAGCTTTTTCTTCTTCTCTTTTTTCCCCCATGCCACATTATAACCCTTCATGCAGGGATTGTCTTGTTTTTAGCCTGTATACACACTATCTGGGATAAGAATGTTTGAAAAATTTCAAGCACCCCAGAAAACAACCACTGTTTAAGAACTCAAAAACTCTCAATAACTATCTACATCTCAGGTAGTATCAAGTGACCTAAGAAAAATTTGTTAGGCAAGAAAATATGGTGTGAATATGTAGAGAAGCAAAAGAACTGATGGCTAATACTGGATAACATGTATCAAGTATGTAATGGAAGACTGATGTAGGAGATGCATCATCCTGTTTTGTAATCTAACAAGAAGCAATGTCATTATATGGAAAACAGTCTTAATCTTTAAATTTCAACAGAGCTCTGTGGTCTTTGTTGCAATAAGCTAACAGCTTTAGGCTGCAGACTAGTTACTTACCTGAGAGACAGTCTAAGTCAATTGAATTTCTTTTCAAATAGAAACATAAAATTGGGGTGGTATAGTAGCTCTTGTGGATAACAGTCGATTAGATACAGGAGATGAAGTAAATCCATCTCTACCTTAATTCTGTTTCAATAATCTTTCAGGTACGATAATAAATTTGTTTTTGCCAATCAGAAAAACAAAATTTTTGGAGGTATTGGCATGGATAGGACAATTTGGATTGTGCATAGATTTCCCAATCCCACTTCGTTAATAGTGTTAGTATTGATATGAGGAATATCCAGTGTACTTGATTTTATAAATGTGATTAGCTGTATATCAAAATACTATTTTTAAATATAAATAGGTGATGACTGCCCATCACCTTCACAAATGCACATATATAAGCGCCTTTCAAATGGGATTGGTACACCTATTGGTGCACCTGACTTTTCTCCCTGTCTGGTTGCACATAAAAAATGGTCAAGTAAGCAACTTGCAAAACCTCCTAGCAAAATGCATCAAACTATGAGGTCTTGGAATACTCTGAACTTAAAGGGCAAAGCAAACCCACACAAATTCTGCACCAATGGCTGGCACATAGAGGTAAAAGGCATTTATTTTTTTAGCTCTCCCAAGCAATCCCTTTGGCTTCTGTTAGTTTGTCTTAAAGACATTTTGTTAGTATCCTTCCATGGGATAAGAACATGCAGTGGTTGTTTCCTGCAGTGATATGAAGATCTTGAAGGTTCTTTTGATGGCCACAACTAAATGCCAGAAACATCTCTGATGTTTACCTGGGAAGGATCATGCTCTCAATTTTCAATATCTTTTCATTTGACTTCGTCCCCTCCCCAAAAGAGCAATCCTTTCTGTTGAGTACTGCCTGGATATCTTATCCTTGCAACAGTCTAAAAAATTACGTTTCACTGAACAAGGCGTGTGCACCATAGTGGCTCGTTGACAGAGATATACCTTATCAGGAGACCTGATGCTATGCCTTTAATTGGTTTTAGCAGCTCTACCACAACAGGTTGCTTAAGACTGTTTCTTGTGACAGGTTGGCCCATCCTTAACTTTGCAACAAAGGGATTTGTCATTTAACTGCCTTAAGTCAGTTATGCAAAGCAGCACAGAATGGATGCATGCCAGTACACTATGCCCCTTTACAAAAGAAGACTGACTGAAGGGATTATTTTGTTTCTAACTAGGGCAACTCCAATTTCAAATCTACTTGGTAAAGATTTTTTATTCTAGCAGTCAGAAAATGATGATTCAAAGAGGGCCTCATCAACATGTGGCTGTTGAATTCAGCCATTGGATATATTCACTTTATTCTGCAAACAAAGAGTGGGGGAAACTGATTTTGTAGCCCCCCAGATCATACCAGGGAAGTGATTAAACCTTGCCATCTCAATCAGGGCAGACCAACAAGAGTTGCACCACTGTTTTGGGGGTCATGTAACTCAGATGCAAATTTCAAAATTACATTGGACAGGATGATTTGAAAGGAAATCAAGAGCGTCACAGAAATGAAACAGGAATTTGCCATTTCGATGGAAAAAATCAGAAGGTAGGCCAATCACAGAATTTAAGGACCACCTACTTTCAGGATCTCCAGATGATTTAAGCCCTACCTTGCTCTTGAGACCCAAGAAGGCAGCCACTATAAGCAGAACACCTCCAAGAGCGACCAGGCAATACTGTGCATAACCCAGCACAGTAGGGAGAAGCACCAAACTGATGTAGAAATCATGTAAGACACCGCCTTCAATCTCTCCACTCTGTTCAAGAAAGAAAAATATTTTACAAACATAGACACTCACAAAATGGTTGTGCCTACACACTGACCAAAGCCTCAAATGCCAGCTTTTTCCACAGCACTGGTAGGTAACCTATGGCCCTGCAGTTGATTCTGGACTCCAATGCCCATCAGCCCAGACAGAAGGGCCATTGAGCAGAAGCAACCTCTAGAAAGATGGACAAATTTGCTGGGGGCTATGGGGCAGATACACACAAGTCCTAAACTGGCTTCTAATCTGTAATGTGTTACATCAACATCAGGTTTGCAGATTTTCTTGGTTATGAGTTTATTTTTCTTATTTTTTAAGAATTATATAGACATATACTTTATATACTCAAGTATCAACCAACTCGAATATAAGACAAGACACCTAATTTTATCACAAAAAAACCTGGGAAAATGTTTGTTTACATACCAGAATTTGCTACGCAAGACATTGGAAGCAAAAAGAAATACCAGAGACAGATGAGTGGTTTCAGAAAGTGAGAGAGATCAGGGACATGGACAAATTAACTTTTTTATTAAAGAAAAACTTGGAGAATCTGATTAAATACACAGATTGGTCCAAGATAGAAGAATATGAAAAAATGAGAATATAATCAGACTTATTCAAAGACATCAGTAGGGAATGGAGAAACAAGAAGAGCCGATTTATTTTAATGATATGTTACGAAATTCCACTCTCAATAATAAATACTTAGGTAAAGACAAAGGTAAAGCTGCAAAGGACTAGATAAAAGTCACCAGATTTTTTAATTTTTTTTAAAAAAATTAATTAGTATTATGAGTAGTATATATTTTTTTGCTTTTTCTCATATTTTTTTCTTTTCTCGTTCTCTATATATGTTTCCTACTTTCCTATTATTTCATTGTTCTCCTACTTTACTTGTATAGAGAAAATTGCCCTTTTTCCCTTTTGTGCCCCCTACCCTTGGTTTTTTCCCCCTCGCCCTCATTAAAATAGCTGAGGGTGGGAAATGCAGCAGCTACCGGTAAATTTCAAAGACCAATAAATTATATTAATTGAGGTATTACTACGTTAAATATTTTGGAATATTTACATAAAACTGTAATTTAATATAAGACTGCCCAACTCTGATTAAACCATTATTCTAACCTTCTTCAATGTAAATGTGCTTACCAATCATCATCATCATCATCTTTAATTACTTATTAATCGCCCTCCATGCGAGATGCTCCAGGCGATTTACATAGCAGAAATTATACAGGATAAAACACATACATACAAATATTAAAATTAACACGGGTCAAATGCTCTAGTAAAAAGCCAGGTCTTAAGTGCTAGGGTAAAATGCCCTAAGTCACGCATGGCTCTCAAATAGGGAGGCAAGGAATTCCATAAGGCAGGGGCAGAAATAGAGAAGGCCCTGCGTCTGGTGCTTTCCAAGTGCACTTCCCTAGGACCCGGTATACAGAGCAAATCGCGTTGGGATGGTCGTGGCGACCTCCGATGATGGTAGAAGAAGAGACGGTCTCTAAGATACAATGGACCCTGGCCATATAAAGTTTTAAAGGTCAGGACCAGCATCTTATACTGGTCCTAATAATAAAGAGAGTAAAATAAGAAATGTAATGAAAATAATAATAAAAGAGTAAAATAATGGATATGGAATAATAACAGAGTAAAATGATAAAAGTAATAATAATAATAATAAAGAGAGTAAAATAATAAATGTAATAAAATAATAATAATAATAATAATAATAATAATAATAATAATAATAGTAATAATAACAACAGAGTAAAATAATAAATAACCTTGACTGGAGTATAAGCTGAGGGGGACTTTTTCAGCCTAAAAAAGGGGCCGAAAAGCTAGGCTTATACTTGAGTATATACTGTATATAAAACATAAGTCCGTAGTCAAAAAGGCAATATAAAAGAGAGCTAGCCAAACAAGCAAAGTTTTCCTAGCTACTGCAAAAGTGGTGGACTAAAGGAACTGAGGCAGTCGCCCCTCCCACTGGCTATATGCTCTATGGGGAGAGTGGGGAGAGTGGGCAGAGCTACCGCCAAAATGTATCTAAAAGCTTTCTAGAAGATTCTGTCTCTACTGCACAAGTGCAGGAAATACCATATGTGCAATTTCACACAGACCACGATGAAGAAGTAATATTAAAACACACATTAAAGTCATTCGTTTGTTTAAAAAAACAAGTTAAAATTCATAGCCTGCTAGAAGAGATGGGTCTTTAATTCTTTAATTCTTAAACCTTATGCTGTCAAATCTCTTCCGGCATTCCATTCCATAGTCTAGAGGCGGCTTACAAAAGGCCCTCTGGGTGATAGTAGCCAGTTGCTTTCTGGTTGGTTGGAGTAAGCCTCTTCCAGAAGCTGTATAGGGTGGATTGTATGGGAGATGGCTATCTTGTTGGGAACCTGGACCCCAAACCTTGCAGAGTATTAAAGTTCAGAAACAACACTTTGTACTTTGGCAAAAACTAACTGGCAACCAGTGGAGTGATTTTAATATATGTGTGATGCGCTGACTCCTGGTATCTGTAACCAATTTGGCTGCTATATATTGAACTAATTGGAATTTTCAAACTTGGTACAGAGGTAGCTCAATGCACAGCATATTAAGTTCAATCTTGAGGTTACCAGCATGTGAACTATACACATGGACCCTTTTTAAATACTAAAGTATTTTTAATCACTTCATGATAGGGCAAAACTGGACCATGACTGTTTTTAGCCTGTGATAGATGGTGCAGAATGTGGCACACAGATATGTGCCCATAAATTGAAGGGAAACCTTCTAGAGAAGGGATTTGGCCCTTACAACTATATTGCACTAGCCTTTGCCCCACTCTCTTAGATCTCAACATGCCCACTATTCTCGGATACTGGATGATAGTTATTGTTGTTCTTATATTGTTATGATATCTGCTGTTTGATTTTATTGTTTTAATTATTGAAATGTAACATGTATTAATTGTGTTATATTTTATTTTGATTTTGTTGGGCTTAGTCCCCATGAAAGCTGCTCCGAGTCCCTTCGGGGAGATGGTGGCAGAGTATAAGAATGAAGTTGTTGTTATTATTAGTATTATTATTTGACAGAAGCACAATTCACGAGGTAGCTGAA